GCGCCCACGAGGCGGCAGGGGCGCCAACGTGACGCGGCTTCGGCCGACCCACCCAGCGCACGGCGGCCCCCGAGCGCCCAGGAGGCAGCGCGGGCGGCAACGTCGCGCAACCTCGGCCCACCCACCCAGCGCACTGGTCGCCTTCGAGCGCCCACAAGCGGCACGGGCCGCAACGTGGCGCAACCTCGGCTGACCCACCCGATGACTTACGCACGTAATTAACCGAAGTAAGAACCAATCAGTGCGAGCACTGTTTGGGAACACATCAACAGACAGTATGCGGTCATGGCTGATATGTGCTGAAGTGACACACTATACTACATCAGTCTCGACCCGCTGTGGCGCGGCCATTGAGGAAGACGCAAGGCGGCCAAGCATGGGAGCACGTTCAAAAGCAAGGCAGAGCACATTGAAGCAAAGTAAAGAGTTAAAAGCAGTGGACGCAGGGAACCAGGACACATCCTCGTCCTCAGTCTCTTGCTCCTCCTCCTCCTCGTCTTCCACGCCTGTTCCTCCCACTCCTTCTCCTCCTCCTCCTCCTCCTCCTCCTCCTCCTCCTCCTCCTCCTCTACGCATCTTCCCACCACTGTGTCTCCGCCTCTCCCCCTCTCCCCCCGCATCCCACTACTCCTTCTCCTCTTTCCCTTCCCCATGCCACTCCCGCCACTCCCCCTCTTCTTCCTTTTTCCCCCTCCTCCTCCCCCTCCTGTTCCCCTCTCCTGCTCGTTCCTCTGCTCCTCGCCGTTCGTTTTTCTCCGTTCCCTCCTCGTCGTCGCCGCTTGGTGCAACAGACCCTGACGGCTGCCGGCACGGGCGCCCCGCCAGAACCCGGCCCTCCGCCGCCAGGTGAACGATCCCGCGCCCCCGTGTTGAATACTCCCCAAGGGGCCCACACGCGTGAGAACGTGTGCCAAATCTCACAGGCGCACGTTTGAGCCCCACCCCTCTCCACATGCGCGCCTGCGCGCGCGAAGAGCCCGATGCCTGCTGCTCCACACCTCCCTGTCTACAGCCAGACAGACCAACGGTACCAAGAGAGGACCCTGGGCCGGAGCCATTACCAAGAGAGAAACACACAGAAACATAAATGTTCTCCGGGTGGCCGCCTGCATCCGCGCCAGCTCCGACTCGCGGGACGCCCTCTCCTCCTGGGCGCGCGTGTCGTCGCTCGCGACCAGGCCGGCGGTCATTCGTCCTCGTCCTCCTCCCCCTCGTCTTCCTCCCCATCGTCCTCCCCCCCCTCCTCCTCCTTCCCTCCTCCTCCTCCTCCTCCTCCTCCTCCTCCTCCTTCCCTCTTCCTCCACCCGCAGGTCCTCCCTCTCATCCTCCGCCGCCCCCCCTGATCATCAACATCACCATGCTGGTACGAATTATGACTAACCTGATCATCAATATCATCGTCGTCGGAAGCCAAATCAAGGTCATCATCAATCATATTCTTCTTCGGCCCATTCACGTCCTATCCCCCGTCTCCTCGTCCTCCTCCTCCTCCTCCTCCTTCCCCCTCTCTGCCTCCTCACCCGCAACACCCCTTCTCACCCGCATCCCCCTCACAAAGTCGACCCCTAGATCTCGCCAGGGCTCCGCCTTGACAAGACTCTGCAACAAGGAATCCAGCCGTTGCGACGAAACGCCTTTTAGATCCCCCCATGAACCAACATCGAAAAATCGATCCCCATAACTCTGAAGACTGGGTACTTGAAGTGCCGGAACCATGGACCCCCTGGCCCTTCCCCTCAAGCTCTTCTCTTTTCCTATGTCCTGGGGCTCAGAAAATGCCCTGGGAGGCCCGAGGCGCCGAGAGGCTCGAGACTCTCTGTACCCCCGAGCCCCTGGATTCTTCAGACGTTGCCACCCGCCCCCCAGGGGGCGGTCTCCCCTTTAGGTTTGATCGAACGACTGAACCAGGCGACCCCAGGGGCGGTCGCCCCTGGAGTCGCCCGCTGCGTGAGAGAGAATGAATCGAGGGTGACAGCAGTGGATTCTGAGGGGGCGCGGGGAGGACGGGAAGGCATCTTATGACAACCAGTAGGAAGGGTTTAGTCGGGCCTGTCCCCCCACAGGGGGATTTCCGACAAAAAACGTACCCCCAAAAAACCTCAAAAAGGTTTGAACAATAGTCAAAAAATAGTCCCCAGACGTCGAAAATCCCCCAGTAGGGGGACACGCCCGACTGAAAGGAAGGGGAGGAAGCAGGAAGAGATGCTGGGCGGCGGCTGTGTACTGCGGCGGCGCAGACTCGGCTTCGCGGCTCCTGCGTGCTGGACGGCTGCTGCGGTGCGACGGCGCGCCAGACCGTGGCGGCGGCTGCGTGCTGCAGCCGCCCGGGCCCCTGCCTGGACGGCCGCGGCGCGCGCCTGGTGCTGCGGCTGCGGCCGGGCAGCGACCACACGCGCCAGAAGGAATGGCGCAGAGGCCTCTCCCCAGCCCTGAGGAAACCCCGCCGCCCCGACCCCCTGTCCCGCCAGAGGGGCCCTTCGCCCACCGAGGTGGTCGCAGGGCACGCAGTGGGGGACTGCGGGGTCGGGTGGTGTTTCCCACACAGGGCGCGGGGAGGTTTGCGCCATCAAACGGCGGTGGCTGTGGTTGGCTGGAGGGATGCCACCCTCGCCAAGGCGGGTAGCTCGGAGGCCTCTCCCCTGCTCTTAGGGACCCCCGCCGACCCGACCCTCGGTCACGCCAAGTGGACCCTCGACAACCGAGGTGGCCGAAGGGATCCTGGGGAAAGACTGGGGGGCCGGGGGAGTTCCACGAGGCGCCGGAAGATTTGAGCCACCCAGGCCGTGGCGTCACTTGTCGAACGTAATCCTCTGCCCATACCCGCCCCCCATCCACCAATTGACTTTTGTCGGCGGCTACATGCGATAGAATGAATACGGTTGACCGGAAGTGCTTCACGCGCGCTAGGGTGAAAGAGGCGGAACGGGGGCAAGGTGGTCGGCTGGCTGGCGTGGCCCGAACGCGGCCACCACGGCCTCCAGGGTAATGACAACAGCCCAGGCGTCCTCGTCTTGGATGGTAATAGCAGCAGCCCAGACGTCCTCGATTGAGTCAGCTTGGCGCGTGCCGTCGGCGTACTCGTGGAGCCGCTTCACCGTCCCAGAAGGTCGTCGTGGGGCTTGATCCAAGGCCACGACGTCAGCTGGAGGAATCGCCCGGGCTCGCGCAAGCCTGGATAGTGGGCGGTGAGTCGTGGCGGGGAAGTGAGTCGCAGGACACCAGCGGTCGGTTCTGTCACCGTGATCATGGATGAAGCAGCTTCTCTCGTCCGTAGCCCCTGAAGTCGGCTTTTCTGCGGCGATTCCTCATCCAAGCTGGACCTGAACAGGCGGTGCCCTAGGTTGGCGACCGAGCTGTCGTAGGGATTGGAGCGGGCGTCCCTCATCCAACGCTCATACACGCACGCTGGTCGGCTCTTGGATGCCGCTCTGTGCTGCGTGGGGCGTGTCGGTGCTCGCTGGTTCCGTAACTACTGGTGGAAGATGCGGTCGTGGCGTTTGCACTGCGTCCTCAGTCCGCCACCCTGAATCGAGGGCGTACTCGTTGGCTTTGCAGTGCGCCTGCATGGTGCCATCGCGGACCCCCGCCTGGATTAGCCCTGTAGCTCTCCGAATAGAACGTCAGCGGGGCACGCGCCACTTGCGGCGGGGTCAGCGGGTCTGGGCGCACGCCTCTCATGCGCGGGGCTGCAGACTCACCGCACGCAGCGCGATGTGCGCCGAACGTCGCACTGCCCTTTAACCGGCAGGAAGAAGCCGAGGCAGCCCCCGCAACTTGGGCCATGTCGCTGCTGGATTCAACATCCCTGACTGCATCCGTCGGGCACGGAGCCATATCTGTGGGCGGGTCGGGGTCGGCGGTGACCCCCCGCATCCTCCGCGCGCTGGCGCCGGGCGGGCGGCGCTGCGGCGTGCTCCCTTGCAGCTGGTAGCGAAGCGCCTCTGCTGGGAGGGCCGACGGGCCTGCGGGGGCACCTCCTCTGCGGCGACGGGGGGTCGATCAGCGCGATGCTCGGCTCGGCCCGCACACGGCGGTCTGTTGGTCGATCGGGTCGCCTTGCAGGTCCCGGGAATGACGTTCTGGCACCAGTCCGTATCGTCAAGAGGCAACAGTCCGGTTGATCAATGGCGCGGAAATCCCGAAAACAATCTTTCGGCATGCTTCAGGGTCTTCAAACAGTTAGGGGCCATTTTGTCTTCCAACAAGGCACAGTTCCAAGACTGGAAATGAACAGGTGTAGGGGCCTGTGAAGAGGGAGCTTGAGGGAGGGTTTATTCCAACATCGTTGATGATTCTTGCGTTTACACTGGTCCTCCTCCTCCTCCTCCTCATCCTCCTCCGCGAGAGTGCCGCAACGGAAAGCTCCATTCTGCCTCACGCCTGAGGCGGGGTCGGCAACTCACCCTTCGCCATCAACATTGATGGTGAGCATGGCCAAGAACCGGCCGCTGCCCTGGTGGGCAGGATGGGCATCCCGTGACCCAGAAGCCGCTTCAACGCCATCATGGAGGGCATCGGCGTCTGGTGGCGCCGAGGCGGGCAAGGCGGGCGGGGTCGAGGCGCTCCAGCTCGAAGAAGAACCCGCGGAAGCAGAGCTCACTCCAATGACGCCGGGATCACGCGAGGAGACCATCGGCGTGAGTCGGGGGCGCGGCACCGTCGAGTGGGAGGCCGTGGAGGAGGAGGATGAGGCCGCCGAGGTCGGTACCCGCCGCCCCGAAAAACGCGCCCACTGGCCAGACGGACCGCGTGGCGTGCCGCTGCCCTGATGTCCCGCAGCGTCTCGTCCGTGAGGTGCCCGCGCCGTGGGTGGTGTTTGGCAGTTCGCCGCAGGTGCCAACCTCCTCCACCCCCTCCTCCTCCTCCTCCTCCTCCTCCTCCTCCTCCTAATCCTCCTCCTCCTCCTCCTCCTCCTCCTCCTCCTCCTCCTCCCCCCCCCTTTTCCAACTCCTCCTCCTTCCTCTTTCTCCCCCTCCCCCCTCCCCAGGGGGGAAGCCCTGCCTGCGCGGCCCTCGCGATGTCCGCCTGCAGCTTCCCGAAGCCCTCGAAGGGGACGCCCCGCGGGGTCGCCGCCGCGGGCCCCTCGGGCTCGAGCATCTGGACCGGCGCGGAGCGCGGGCGGTCTCGAAGGGTCGGGCAGTGACTCCTCCTCGCGGCGCCCCGAGATCCTGGCGTTGCAAATGTTGAAACACCAGGCGTGTTCGCCCGGCTCCGGGCCCCGGGGCCCTCACGCGTGTCAACGCGGCTCACAACATGGCGAAGACAATGGGGTCCTGGGCTCCGATGGCTCTCGAGTACGATGTTGAAATGTTTCGAGGCGTCGGAGCTCGAGGCCCAGTCCCCTTCCGTTGCCCCCATCCTTGCCTCGATCCCCCCTCTTCCTCCCGCCTCCTCCTCCCCTCCCTCCCCCGTCGGTCCTCCTCGCTCCTCCGACCTCCGGTCCAGCAAGCAGCCCGGCCGCCCAACCACCCGTGCCCCCTGCTCCCGGAGTGCTCCCCGGGCGGCGGGCCTGCGGGTAGCGGAGCCCCCGGCACCAGGCGCGGGTCCGCCAGCGGAAACAGAGTGGGCAGCCGATGTTGTATCTCATCGCCGCTCTTGTGCCTGCCAGGCCAGCGCCTGCCGTAGGCCCTTCTCCAACGGCGACCTCCGAGCACGCAGTGCATCCCGCAGCTTGGCTCACGGGGTGCGATCTTGCCCAAGCTGCGTGGAGGGCAGGATCCGTCCGTTCGACTCGGTGCAAGGAAACGCTCCGCTTCCTTGAGAAGCCCGGGCAAAACTGCCCGCGTCCTGCCACCAGTCGGGGAGACGTAAGACCCGGGTACGGGGGACTCGGAAATTCCCGACGAGGTCGTCAAAAAAATGACGAGGCCGAGCCTGCATTTTGACGAGGCCTCCCGCTGCAGACATCCCACGAAACTCTTCCTCGTCAGAATCCGAGGCGCGGTCGTCAAAAAACGATGGCGAACCCGAGTCCCGGCAAACCCGGGTCTTACGCTCCCCCGAACCAGCCGGGGCGCCCCAGACGGGCGGAGCACCTTGCCGACCCACGAGCTCGACGCATGCGCTGCCGCATATAACCGAGCCGACGCCGACACCAAACCGCAGACGCCCCTCGACTCCGCCGACGACACCCACCACGGACACCCGCATGGCTCTGACGCGGACGGGAGCCCGACGCGGACCCTCCTCCACCTGGACTTGTGGGGCGGCGTGTCTTACGACGACATGCGTACCGCGGGGTCAGTCACAGGGCCTCTGGCGCACTCTCTGGCCGTTCTGCGGGGGGCCGCCGCGAGCGCCGTGCGCGACGCTCAACGGGCAGGCAATCCCGCTGCAGCCAGCAGGGCGGGCGGGCAAGCTGCCGGCATTCTTCGACCTTCACACCGTCCCGGGCCCGCGGGTGACGGAGCGCCACGGACAGCGGCCTCTGTCCAAGAACAAAAACCTCTCCCGACGGATCCGCATAGCCGGGCGGGGAGACTGGGGGACCCTTTGACGCGAGTCGGCGACCACCGCCGCGGCCAGGGCTGCCGCTGCAAGATGACGACGCACTTGCCGCCCGCAGGACACCTCGAATCCGCCGAAGCTTTCTGCCAGGTGGCCGTAACCTCCCTGCTCGGCGCCCATCCCAGTGGTTCCAGAGCGGCCAACCTCGGGCCCCGGCTGTGGCGGCGCTGCGGAAGCAGAACGGGGAGCTCCGGCCGGTGGCGTGCGGCAGTGTCCTCCGCAGGCTGGCGGCGAAAGCGCCTTGTGAAGTCTCCCTAGAGGAGCCGAAGGAGGAGCGGCCCCCACCGCCAGTGCGCGGTCGCCACCAAGGTGGCCCTGAAAAGGTCTACAGAGTGCCACTCCTTTTCGGGCGAAGAGAACTATGCACATGCACCGATCCTGGCAAGGCCCATTTTTGACCCAGGATCGGTGCATATGCCTTCCTGGCCAAGGTAGGAGGGCGTATGCACCGATCCTGGGCTCAGGATGGGCCTGGCCAGAATCGGTGCATGTGCATAGTTCTTTTCCCTCGATCCTTTGGCCGAGGCGCCGCCCGGCTGCCCGGGACCGCCGTTTCCGACGCCACCAACGCTTTCAGCGCCCTGCCCCGCCAGGCGGTGCTGGGCGCAGTGGGCCGCTGCAGGCGCCGGGCCTCGTGCCAGTCGCCAGCGCCTCACCGACTGGGCCGACGACGCAGAGCTTCTGAGACGACCACGGCACCCATTGCCTGTGTCAGGCGTCGACCAGCGATGCCCGCTCAGCCATGCCTTCTTCGCGGTGGGCATCGCGGACGCCCCCGCGCGCGCGCGCACGACCGCCCACCCTGTCTCCCGCCTGTTCTCCGACCCGAACGACATGCTCGTCGTCGTGCTCGCAGGGCCGCCGCTCTGGCGCACGACATCGTCCAGGAAGAGATGGTTCAAGCTGGTCTGGAACTCAACCCGGCGAAAACACAAGTCTGGACCCCCAGCCCGGCCATTGTGGTCCCTGCCCGACTCGCGGCACTCCAGACTGCCACGCCAATCATGCTCGGCAATCTGGCCACCAGGTACGACCGCGACGACGGAGACGCTGACGCCAGTCTGCCCGTCCTGGCTAGCCGTGACGAGCGGGAGGTCATGGACAAGACGCGGAGCTTCCTGGGGCACTGCAATTCGCTGCGCCAGAACGGGCTCTCGGCGGAAGGAGCCCACACGCTGATCCGCAGTTGCGCCCAGGGGTGTGGCACCCACCCGCCACGCGCGAACCACGAGACCGCTCGGGTGGGAGAGCTCGGCGACTCGGCCTGCGGCGCCTTCGCCGAACCTACTGGGCCTTTGAGCAACGAGCACAAAGGTTGGCTCAACCCCTCCTCCTCCTCCTCCTCCTCCTCCTCCTCCTCCTCCTCCTCCTCCTCCTCCTCCACCGCCTTTCCGACGGTGGCACTGGCATCCCTTCCGCCGAGGAGACCGTCGCCCGCACCTGCCTCTGAGCTGGGCCTTCTGCTCCCGGGGGCGCGGGCGGCCTGCCTGGGGAGGCCGCGCTGGCGGAGGCCGCCGGGGCCCGCTGCCCCCCTGACGGCGGAGGCCCGGCGCCGCGCGGAGGCGGAGCCCGACTGGCAAGAGGCGGGGGCGGAGCCTCTGGACAAGTCCGCTCCCTTGGCCGAGCCGAAGGCCAAACTGCAGGGGCACTTAGCTGCCCCGATGCGCAACACGCAACACGTGGCGTATTGATACGGGAGCTCAACACGTGGACTGGAAACGCGGGTCCGACGCGAGACGTTCGCCAAAACGTGGGCCGAGACGTGGAGCCAACACGCAACGTGTTGACACGGACGTCTTGAACACGGGACGTGCTGCGTTTCAATACTAGGGGGCAAACAAACCTACCTCGCTTTTGACCACCCTCGCTTCCAAGAGATACCAAGCGGTGCCAAACTACGGCCTGTACTGGTCAGGCCGCGTGACGAGGAGGCGCGTGGTATGGCTTGGTTTTGCCTGGAAGCGAAAGCGGGGGAGGTAATTCACGCACTGAGAGACAACTGAGCAGGGGTACCGAGGGAAGCGGACCTCCGCTGCCGTGAAGGCGCGGCTCCCTCGGACGCTGGACGGCAGCGGCCGGCTCGCCGCATGCGCAGGACAAGAGTGGCCCCAGGGCGGGGGCCTGGCTCCTCCCGCGCGGAGAGGGCGACGCGCCCCTCCCGGACGTGCACCTCTTGGCAGACCGACGCATACGCTCAAGTCGGGCCTGTCGCCCTACAGGGGGGATTCTCGACGAAATATAAAAAAATGCCCCCCAAAAAATCAGATTCCAAACATATTGTGGGGACTATGTTTGGAATATGTGTTGACCTTTTTGGGTGTATTTTGGGGGTATCTTTTATTTTTCGTCGAAAATCCCCCGATAGGGGGACACGCCCGACATAAGCATACGCCTCAGCTGCGACGCATGCGCACAGGGCGCGCGCTGCCAGCACCGCAAACAAAACGGCTCGCTACGCGGAGAGCTGCTGGACGCCCAGTGCTGGCACGCCAGGCAGTGTGGGTGCGGAGGCAACAGGGATTACCGACACAACTCCCTGCGAGCTGGAGGGCGCCGTGGCACTACGTTCAGACTGGCCACCGGGCCACCACCGAGCAGCGCTTCCCTGCTGGGGACCGCCAGCACCCCGACACGGGCGTGCGGGAGGAGGCCACCTTCCACGTGGCCACGCGCGACCCCGCTACCAACGCCCTTGCCTGCGTGCACGGTTCTTTCACCTGCGAAAGCAGCCACAGCGACAACAACGCTCGCAGGCAGGCCAAGGGCCAGGGCTCGCACGGATGGGGCAGTGGCTGCCCAGGCTGTCGACAGAAAGCGGACGCGCTACCCCCCCGTCCACAATGAAGCTGAGCCCCGGTGTCTTGGAGTCCAGGGGCCAGCCAGCTGACGAGCTGGTCGCCTTCAAGCGTTCCTACGGCTGGAATTTGCCAGAGGCTGGGCGGTCAGCTGCGTTTGCCACCACTCGGCGGCAGATCCAGCGCTGCCTTGCATCCGGCAGCGCCGAGATGCTGCGTTGCGCCTGAGCCGGCAGGCCACTGGCCACCACCAACACGAGAACCACCACTACCACCGCCGCAACCACCAGCTCCGACACGACCACCACCAGCTACCAGCCCGACGGCCACTAGCGCGGCCACGACCACGACCACTGCGACTACCACGACGGCCGCCACCACGACCGTTGCGACCGCTGTGCTCGCCGATGACCGCTCGCACGACCACTGGCACGACCATTGCGACGACCGCGACTACCACCACCACGACCACCGCGACCGCGACGGCCGCAACGCCCCCCACCACGGCCACCACCAGCGGGCCCGCCCACCACCACGCTCATTGCAACGACGGCCACCACCACCACCACGACTGCAGCCTGCTCATCACCCCCTCCCCCGCACCCCCCCCTCCCCTCCCCCATCCCTTCCCTTCCCCATCCGGGCCGTCCCTGCCACGGGGGGGCGCCTCGTGTCCCCCCCCCCCTCCTCTCCTCGTCCTCCCCTCCCCCTCCCTTCCTTCCTCTTTCCGGGCCATCTCTGCCACAGCGGCCGCCTCGTGTCCCCCCCCCCCTCCCCTCTTCGTCCTCTTCCTTCCAATATTCTCGCGTTCCTGCCCCGCGCTGCCAGGTGTGGTTTGACAACAGGAGGCTGCGGCCAGCTGCCATATCCGGGCCTTGTTGCATCCTGGGTGCCGTGGACTGACCTCTCCCCAGAGAGAGAGAGAGAGAGAGTCGGCGATGCGGCACGATGCGCCGACCCCATCCACTCGGGCCCCATCTAGGAGGGGGGGTCCGAGTAGATGGGGTCCGAGTAGATGGGGTCAGAGGATCGCGCCCCATCGCCGACAGAGAAAGAGAGAGAGAGAGAGATAGTAAGTGAAAGGAGAGCGGCGCAAACATCGGACAGTCGGGCATATTCTGCCCGGGAAGACACTCACACGCCCAGTGATGTGTTACGGCGCTGCTGTGTCGCGGCTTAGTATCTCGAGATGCTCATCCCACAGTCAAACCACCAGGTCAAGAACACAAGGCAAGGGTGCAATACCGATTTGCCCATCAGGCAAGGCTTGACAGAACAGGCAGGGATGGGTCGAGCAGGCAATGTGCGGCGCGAATAGACAGGAATGCCTTGACATCTTGACGAACAAATGCATCCGTGTTGCCCTGACTGACCGCAAGGCAACTGCAGCTCGATTCCGCCCAGATGCACGAACGCATGCCGCATACAGCACTGGCCAATAGATTGTTGCCAGCGCGTGCCCAACAAATAATCAGATATTGCAATCTCTATGTGCACTACAGTTGGCCAGTTTGTGGGATGCGATATTCGTGGTGCAGCCCATGCAGCTGATAACCCAGCACTTTGAAATGCCCATCGAGCGTAACGGCGCGTGGAACTCAACCGCGCAGACACGTCCGTCCTGCAGATCGCGAGATTATGGTGACGATGCTGGTGCCCGCGACACCATAGGCTACGGGAACGACATTGTAATGACGCTGATGCCGCTGGTGATGACAGTGGTGGTAGACACGACACGATGATGGGGGCGGCGGCGGTGGCGGTGATGTAAGTGGCGATGGTGATGATGGTAAACAAGATGCTGCATAAAACACCCGAACTCTGGAATTGCCCAATGACACAATAGACTAGCCCCATGACACAAAAGACTACCCACCACCAACTCCACGATCAGCAACAACAAGATAAGCCTGCCGATGTGGTGATGGTAGAGCAGTTCGTCAAGACCCTCTCCCAGGATGTGCATGCCCAACTCACAAGCGGCAATCTACATGGTGGTCCGCATTCTCGGGTTCGGATGACAATTGAAAGTCACCCATCCACGCTTGGCCAGCACTCTCGGTGCCGTCGTCCGAACAAATACTAGACAATCCATGACGTTCGCCATTGGCACGTCGAAAAGGTTGATACTTCGGCCACTCGGCCCACAGGTGACGGAACCAGGGATTGATAGCCTGGCAATGCAAGGCAACCCCGACTTGCTGCGTGTCTCCGAAACTACGGCCCCAGAACGAAATATGTTCAATGATGCCCAGTGCTCCCCCGACAGCTTCTTCACAAAATTCTTGAAGGTTGGGCGCGGCTCAGCAACGATACCCACATCGAGGATCTCAACCGCATATGCCCGCTTGTCATTAACGGAAGCCAGGCACCGAACTCGAGCAATTCAACGCAACACGTGTTCGATGCGCTTGCCGTACCTCGGATCGTTGGGTCGATGTGTCCAGAACTGTCGCTCCGTCGCTTCCACAAGCGTAATTACTCGGTTGTCATCCCGCCCATCCACTTGCAAGAGACACACACGACCATCCGCAGATCGCAGAAAAAGAAGGCAAAGCGAGGCCGCATGCTGTTGCATCGAATTCCCCAGCAAGGTGGACCAATCCAAACGCTCGTCCACGATCACCTTGAAAACATGTAAGGCACCTGGGAACTTAGGGTGTACATTGATGTGTTGGTCCCACCATCGGTCGGTCTGGTAATCGCCCGAAGTAGCGCCTTGCTGGTCAGCTCAGGTAGCGGGGCCAACAGAGGGCATCCCCACAACAATAGGGGTCAAATGCATGTGATAGCCAGTCTCAATCGTACTGCAGCCGTTCCAAGACACGATCCCAAAATCGAGATCGCCGCGTCCAGCTTGTCCCAGCCTCCGCGAGGTCAGATCGGGTGTGTGGGGTCCACGGGCATGGCCGTCACCCCACGGTGTTCAATCAACACAGGCGGGTCGTCAGGCCGCGTCCGCCTCTGCCTCGTGGACTGGTTGTCCGCGAAGCTCACCGCCATGTCGAAGCGCTGCGTGTAGTCCAAATCCGAATCGAAAACTTACGTCGTTGCTGCCGTGATGGAGCGGTCGTCCATGTAGAGCACCCGCGCGCAAAAAATGGCGAGCACGACATCGACGACTACGATGGCGACGGCGGCTTGTATGATGACGATGGCGCTTATGATGATGATACCGGTCGTGCTGATGAGGGTGATAAGGAAGCTCACGCTCTCATAGATTCAGGAATCCATGTCTTTGTCGCCTTGGAAACATCCTGGTGCTCGCATATGGGTGAACACATCTGTGATGAAACGGTTCATGTACAGCTGGTGCTGGAAGGATTTGGAGGTGCGCGTGCGGAGATGCGCGCACGTGGCCCGCATCGCACCATTCAGCAAGGATGGCGGGCGCGCGATTGTGGCTGAACAAGTTCAACATGCGCGCGCGGCCCACGTGGTCGAATCTGACGGAATGTCGACCAGCTGCGCTTATGGTACAGCGAGTGTGCGCACGCAGCAGCATGCCAACTCTCATTGCAGGACATGGCAGGAGAGCCATTGGTTTTAGCTAGACTGTTACTGAGCAGGTGCGTCTTAAAGTATGAGCACATCCGTATGTTCTTCAACAGAAAACGCCGCGGCGCGCGCACGTGCTCCGCATCCTAGCCTCGTGCAATGAAAGTGTTGTGTGCTGCACATTCGCGCACATGTTTCCGCCGAGAGAAGGGTCGACACTGGCTGGGCTGGGCTGCCTTTCTGTGAGATTCAGGATGCACGACCGTGCAGTGTAAAAATGAAAAATACGCGAGGATGGAGGGATAATTCCAGCCTCGGCGAAGGGGGGAACCGAACTCTTTACAGAAAGACGAATCAATGCCTCTCTCGCCATCCCCTTGTCCCCTGCGCGCGCCGCAACGTTTTCCCTTTGCCACCTTAATCGTGCAAAGCGAAGCGGCGAGACGGGCCTTGCAGAGCTCGTTCTCCGTCAGCCTGCGGGAGTACCTGGAACAGTGGACGTGGATGATACAAGCTCGCACAGGAACTTTCCCGCATGCCCCGCTGGTGGCTTACCCCTTCAAAAGTAGTCTCCAGTCCTCGCCCCCCTCACCTTCCGCATCCTCCCCCCCCGGACACATCCCACCCTGCTCCAGCCAATGCGCATGTAACTGCTCCTGCTGCTCCTCCCGCCTCTTCTGCATCGCGTGCTCCCTGAGATGTTCCCAGGACTTGTAGGATAAGAAAACAGGACATGGCCAAGACTGGACGTTAAAACATCCTGCCGATCTTTGTAACCGTCGATCTTGGTCAGCGTGCATTCGTGGACCCTCCTCGCGAATCGGCGACGGCTGAAATTGACCATGTCCAACATCGGCATCGACAAGATCCCGCGACATCTTGATAATTTGCTCATGGCTCTCGCGTTGTAATCTTTGCTCCAGCAACCGGCCAATCAATTGAGAGGGATTCGAGTATGAGCAGATCTGTGAGGACCCAGAAGATGGTGAACCAGACCTGAGACGGGCAAACCCCAGGGACACTCTGATGGAGGCCCGTAGCGATACTGACGTGTAAACCGTTCGTCATAATACCTGGGAAGATGGGGCGGGAGACGAGTGGAAACAAGGGCTCCCAACTTCGCGCTTCGCGCTGCGCGAAGCGCGAAGTGCAAATAACTTCGCGCTCTCGCGCCGCCTTCGAAAGGGAGAAGAGGAGGATGAGGAGGAATCGTAGCCGAACCGCGAAGCGCGAATACCTTCGCGCCCTCGAGGGCGCCCGTGCGGAAAGGCCTCGCAGCTGGCTCCCTGCGAAGTCTCCCCCAGGATCGCCTGAGCTGGTGCTGCTGCTCCTGCCCCAGCTCCTGCGCCCCTCGCCCTCCGCCCTCGCTCCCGCGGTGCCGCCGCGCCCGCCTCTGCTCCTCCAGCGTTAGGTCGGGCACGCCCCCCTACAGGGGGGCGTTGAGCGAAAAAAAAATTACCCTGGCGACGTACCCAACCCCTGCGCAAAAGCGGGGCGCAAATAGTTTAGGATACTTTATAAGGGGGCGATGACGGAGCGAGGGTTACATATGTCTGCAGACGGAATTCGGGAGACTCGCAGGACACTGGCTACAGGAAAAGGGCTTGATAAAGCTGATGATTTACAATTCCTGAGCACTCCTAGCCACTTCGAAAACGGGGATCACAGCAGGCCTCGAAAGTGGCGACAGGTTCACAGATCGCAGCCCCGCAGGGATGGCGAGGTCTCATTTGAATCTGCCCGTGGCCCTCACTGTGCTGGGCCCCCCAGCAGGCCTCGAAAATGGCGGCAGTTTCGCAGATCGCAGCCCCCCAGGGATGGCGAGGTCTAATTTGAATCCGCGCGTGGCCCTCACTGTGCTGGGCCCCCCAGCAGGCCTCGAAAATGGCGACAGTTTCGCAGATCGCAGCCCCCCAGGGATGGCGAGGTCTAATTTGAATCTGCGCGTGGCCCTCACTGTGCTGGGCCCCCCAGCAGGCCTCGAAAATGGCGACAGTTTCGCAGATCGCAGCCCCCCAGGGATGGCGAGGTCTAATTTGAATCCGCGCGTGGCCCTCACTGTGCTGGGCCCCCCAGCAGGCCTCGAAAATGGCGACAGTTTCGCAGATCGCAGCCCCCCAGGGATGGCGAGGTCTAATTTGAATCCGCGCGTGGCCCTCACTGTGCTGGGCCCCCCAGCAGGCCTCGAAAATGGCGACAGTTTCGCAGATCGCAGCCCCCCAGGGATGGCGAGGTCTAATTTGAATCCGCGCGTGGCCCTCACTGTGCTGGGCCCCCCAGCAGGCCTCGAAAATGGCGACAGTTTCGCAGATCGCAGCCCCCCAGGGATGGCGAGGTCTAATTTGAATCCGCCCGTGGCCCTCACTGTGCTGGGCCCCCCAGCAGGCCTCGAAATGGCGACAGTTTCGCAGATCGCAGCCCCCCAGGGATGGCGAGGTCTAATTTGAATCGTGGCCTCACTGTGCTGGGCCCCCCAGCAGGCCTCGAAAGTGGGACAGTTTCACAGATCGCAGCCCCCAGGGATGGCGAGGTCTAATTTGGCCGCGATGCCCCCCAGCAGGCCTCGAAAGTGGCGACAGTTTCACAGATCGCAGCCCCCCAGGGATGGCGAGGTCTAATTTGAATCCGCCGCGATTACCCTCTATGCAGGACCCCCCAGCAGGCCTCGAAAGTGGCGACAGTTTCACAGATCGCAGCCCCCCAGGGATGGCGAGGTCTAATTTGAATCCGCCGCGATTACCCTCTATGCAGGACCCCCCAGCAGGCCTCGAAAGTGGCGACAGTTTCACAGATCGCAGCCCCCCAGGGATGGCGAGGTCTAATTTGAATCCGCCGCGATTACCCTCTATGCAGGACCCCCCAGCAGGCCTCGAAAGTGGCGACAGTTTCACAGATCGCAGCCCCCCGCAGGCAAGACAGAAAGAGGCAGGAAAGAGGCGGGAGGCGGGAGGAGGAAGGACGCGACCACACTGCTCTATTCAAAACGAATACCCAACCAAGGAGGGTTGGGAAAAAAATACCCCAAACATGCGCCCAAAATGCTCAAACATTACCCTGGCGACGTACCCAACCCCTGCGCAAAAGCGGGGCGCAAATAGTTTAGGATACTTTATAAGGGGGCGATGACGGAGCGAGGGTTACATATGTCTGCAGACGGAATTCGGGAGACTCGCAGGACACTGGCTACAGGAAAAGGGCTTGATAAAGCTGATGATTTACAATTCCTGAGCACTCCTAGCCACTTCGAAAACGGGGATCACAGCAGGCCTCGAAAGTGGCGACAGGTTCACAGATCGCAGCCCCGCAGGGATGGCGAGGTCTCATTTGAATCTGCCCGTGGCCCTCACTGTGCTGGGCCCCCCAGCAGGCCTCGAAAATGGCGACAGTTTCGCAGATCGCAGCCCCCCAGGGATGGCGAGGTCTAATTTGAATCCGCGCGTGGCCCTCACTGTGCTGGGCCCCCCAGCAGGCCTCGAAAATGGCGACAGTTTCGCAGATCGCAGCCCCCCAGGGATGGCGAGGTCTAATTTGAATCCGCGCGTGGCCCTCACTGTGCTGGGCCCCCCAGCAGGCCTCGAAAATGGCGACAGTTTCGCAGATCGCAGCCCCCCAGGGATGGCGAGGTCTAATTTGAATCTGCGCGTGGCCCTCACTGTGCTGGGCCCCCCAGCAGGCCTCGAAAATGGCGACAGTTTCGCAGATCGCAGCCCCCCAGGGATGGCGAGGTCTAATTTGAATCCGCCGTGGCCCTCACTGTGCTGGGCCCCCCAGCAGGCCTCGAAAATGGCGACAGTTTCGCAGATCGCAGCCCCCCAGGGATGGCGAGGTCTAATTTGAATCCGCGCGTGGCCCTCACTGTGCTGGGCCCCCCAGCAGGCCTCGAAAATGGCGACAGTTTCGCAGATCGCAGCCCCCCAGGGATGGCGAGGTCTAATTTGAATCCGCGCGTGGCCCTCACTGTGCTGGGCCCCCCAGCAGGCCTCGAAAATGGCGACAGTTTCGCAGATCGCAGCCCCCCAGGGATGGCGAGGTCTAATTTGAATCCGCGCGTGGCCCTCACTGTGCTGGGCCCCCCAGCAGGCCTCGAAAATGGCGACAGTTTCACAGATCGCAGCCCCCCAGGGATGGCGAGGTCTAATTTGAATCCGCGCGTGGCCCTCACTGTGCTGGGCCCCCCAGCAGGCCTCGAAAGTGGCGACAGTTTCACAGATCGCAGCCCCCCAGGGATGGCGAGGTCTAATTTGAATCCGCCGCTGTGCAGGGCCCCCCAGCAGGCCTCGAAAGTGGCGACAGTTTCACAGATCGCAGCCCCCAGGGATGGCGAGGTCTAATTTGAAATGCAGGGCCCCCCAGCAGGCCTCGAAAGTGGCGACAGTTTCACAGATCGCAGCCCCCCAGGGATGGCGAGGTCTAATTTGAATCCGCCGCGATTACCCTCTATGCAGGACCCCCCAGCAGGCCTCGAAAGTGGCGACAGTTTCACAGATCGCAGCCCCCCAGGGATGGCGAGGTCTAATTTGAATCCGCCGCGATTACCCTCTATGCAGGACCCCCCAGCAGGCCTCGAAAGTGGCGACAGTTTCACAGATCGCAGCCCCCCAGGGATGGCGAGGTCTAATTTGAATCCGCCGCGATTACCCTCTATGCAGGACCCCCCAGCAGGCCTCGAAAGTGGCGACAGTTTCACAGATCGCAGCCCCCCGCAGGCAAGACAGAAAGAGGCAGGAAAGAGGCGGGAGGCGGGAGGAGGAAGGACGCGACCACACTGCTCTATTCAAAACGAATACCCAACCAAGGAGGGTTGGGAATAGTCAAAACATAGTCCCCTGACTATTTCTTGACTATTTTTGAATATTCCTCCTGTAGAGGGACAGGCCCGACATAACTCCAGCGGCCCCTCGAGACGAAGCCAGGGCGAGGACAGCATCGGCGGAGCATGAGACAAGGAGCCCTCGTCAAGACAAAGCCAGGGCGAGAGGATACCATCGGGCGTGGCGAACTGGAGAATCTCTAAGATCCGCGGGCTCGGGAGGATGTCTCTGGCGCCGCGGCCTTCTCAGAGCGTTCCGGAACGCTCTGGGAGCGTTCCAGGACGCTCTGGAACGGATATGTCCTCGTCCCAGCCCCGTCCGATCCCTCCTCCTGCTGCTCATCCTGCTCGGGTTGCTCATCCAGCTCCCGAGGCGAGCGGCAATGGGCTTGCAGGTGGAGGCCGCCCAGATGGGGCCACAGTCGATGAGATCGGGTCGGAGGATCGTTGCCGCGTCGGCAACGCACCGGCGGCGCGCCAGGGTGGAGACCGCCCACGCGCAAGAGTGACCCTGGGCAGGGGTGACCATTGGTGTGCGGCTTTCGGAGGCCGCGGGGGTCTCACTCCGGCAGAGAGGGTTGCTCTTGCGCGTGTAGCCGCGGAGAGGACATGGCGCTGCGGTTCGCGCGGCGCCCCGGGCTGCGCTGGACCGCGGCGGCCATCGGCGCTGCCGTTCGGCGGGCGCGCTGCCGCTGCTGTCCACGCCCACCCCGCGCCCACAGAGCGCCCGCTCGGGGGGGAGCCCGCGCCCGCGCGGTGAGCGCGAGGCGGTGACTGCGCAATGGGAGTGCGTTGCTTTCTGGTGAAAGTGCTCGCGCCGCGTCGAAGCTGCGGCGATGCGGCGCGATCCTCCGACGCTGCACGTATAGCCATCGTGCTGCCACGAGGCGCGCCGAATGTGGAAAGGAGGGGGTTTCCTGGCCCTCGGCCACATGTAGCTTCCCCGACCTAGACTGAGGGAGAGGCCCGAAAACCAGAGCCCCTCCTCAGCCCATAGCGGCTCTGATCGCAGCGTCTTGCCTGCACTCTGGCGCCATCTGCGCGTCGCCCGCTCTGGTGCCGAAGCCCACCTGCGTGACCCCGCTGGCGTCGCCGATGTCGCTCCGACCCGCGTCCGCCTCAAGCTCTCAACATCAGATCTCAGGGAGCGGACTCGCACTCCTGGGCAGACCAAGACCCGCTGAGGATGAAGCAGAGACGGCCCCAAGAGAGGGGTCGAGAGGTCGGCCCCCCCCCGAGGCTCGAAGACCTGGTCCTCGAACGCCTGGCCCCTGGGACTCTTCCCGAAGCCCGCCCTGGCTGCTGCTTCCGGGCTGCGTCGGGCCGTCGCGGCGAAGACGCCCCCAAGGCCCTCGGAGAGAAGAAGACGTCGACGCCGCCGGCGTCGTCACCGCCCCGCGTCCGCTCAGAATTGGCCACTGGGACCCTCCCGAGGTCCATCGCGGCCACTTTCACGAGCTGCGCCAGGCCGCGGCGACGAGGATGCCCGAGGGCGTGGCCGCCGTCGTCGTCAATGTCGAAGACGTCGTCGTCGTGGACGCCGTCGACGACGTCAGCGTTGCCGTCTGCGTCGGCGTCGCCACCGCCGCGGCACTGGTCGATGGCCAGGCGGGCGACATCCTCGTGGAGGTACGCCCGCACGCACGCGCGCCAGGATCCCCGCCGCGCCCCATCTTCTCTCTCCTCCCCTCTTGCATGGCGATTCGCAAGGGGGGCGGGCGCGAGGGGGGCGACCTTCTGAGAAGGCGGGCGGTTTCTTAGAAGGCATGGGTCTTCTTGGACGGGCTCGGGGGCTTCTAAGATGACCCCTGCCTTCTCAGACGCCCCCCGCCTTCTTACAAGGATGCCCCCCTCGCGCAACCCCCTTGTGCGCGCCGCCAATCCTTACCGTCGCTCCTTCTCCTCCCTGCCAATTGTTTCCCTCAACCCTGAAATCGAAGATGGCGAGACCATGCCGAACTGCCTCATACGAAATGTGTAATTGATTGGTCCTCTGGAGGTTTCCAGCACTCTCCAAGGACATCCCACGACGTCCAAAGACGGTAAGTCCGTATCTTCAGAAAACGACAGAACCCTCAACAAGCAGCCTCCAAGGAGAGCTCCGTCACGCAAGAGCTCGTCGCTCACCTCACTCTCGGTCTCTGGGTGGCGATACACCATCGCCCTCTTCCAGCCTTCGGCACAATTCGCATACGCAATTGCTGACACTACCACGCATGTCACATTGAGCGGGCTTCACACCGAACACTTGCGGTGGCCCATCCCTGGGCCAACTCTAGTCCGTCCACCCTGACCACCCGCGCGGCGAACGCTGCAGGCTGCAAGTATGAAATCATGTCTCTGGCTCCCAGGAATGGCTCACGAATGCTCAGAGCGACAGACCCCCTCCAGCCAGATGGATCTACGCCTACAGTGGGCCCCCATAGTCATGAATTGATTCCTGGGCGAACGCAACGAGGAACTCATCATTGTTCCTGTTGATCCCCCTCATCCTGGTCCTCACCATCATCGCCTCTCCTCACGATGTATATTTTGCAAGGTCTTCGTGAGGTCGACAAAACATGATTGATATCGATTTAGGAGCGACAGCGCCGATCTAAGCTGGGCAAAGGCCAGGATCATGCCAAATGAAGCGGAATTGGGACAGATCAGGCTGGAGTTCCACCAAGGATTGACCAGGTCTACCAGCGCCGATGTTGAATTTAACCTCCCCAGAGCCGCGTGCTAATCACCTCTCTCGCACAGGGCAAGGGCTGGCGAGCACACATTGTTTGGCGATGTGGCTCCTCGCGACTCAGAAAGCCATCGCCATTGGAGTCGAGCGCGTTGAACTTGGCACGGCTCTTCTCAGCCTCGACCTTCCGAGAAAGGGCAGAGGCGGACAATTTGAAACGGACACATCGCTCGCCATCGCACCCCAGGTACCCAAACGCATCACAACTGACTAATCCTAACGCACCAATTTTCCGAGCTGCGTCCAACCGTAACGACGAGGGGACCCCCGAAAGCCCACTACCGTTATATCAACTGGCCCTCCTCTGAGGATCCCGCCTTCCCCACTCGACGCAATCAAGATGCGCGCAGGGGCAGCCCTGTCGGCACCGCAATCGGAAGCGAAAAAGACGGACACGCCGGGCCCCCGAATTATCCGGAATACATGTGATCCTTGGTAACGCCAAGTTGCGCCACCGACGCGCGAACCCAGAGCTACCCCTGACCTCCCCAAACCCTCATGATTCGGGAGTGGTTCGACGCCCGAACTATCCGGGATAATTCCGGTCTGGGGCAAGTACAGTTTGGTGAGCATCGTTAACCGATCCTTATCCCCACTGGCGTGGCCTTGACCTCACTGGAAATACATGTTGTTCCCACTGGGTTGCGTGTGGCCTATCCCCAACTGCGTGGATGAGATGATGAGGCTGGGATAGCATGACCCAGTGGGAATGGGGATCGGTGAAACGATACCGAGTTGGGCCCCCGAGGCACGAATCAGGAGCCACCCCTGACCACCCCCAGACCCCATGATTCGGGGTCTGAGCACGCACAGCAACCCGCGCAACAAACGGGCACTGCGGCGGCGCATGCTGCAGAGCCCGGCCACGCTGGAAGCGCCCTGCGATGTCGTCGCCGGGGCTGCCGAGGTGCCTCGCGGGAAAGCTGACAGTGAAGGGCCACGGCTACGACTCCTTCAATCGGAGGGGTGCTGTTCGAGACAAAAGCGGCCCTCCCTGGCGCCCTTCGTCCTGCCTGGGCCTCTTGGAACATCTCGTCACCACGGCTGGATTCGCCTCGCAAAACTGGTCTGACGACCGAGTTTGAGCGCACGCGGGCCGGGCGGGAGAGCCGCCCTTGCCTCAATCGTTACGAATCGCAGCAGCGAGAACCCACGCCGCGTTCGAAGGCAGCCGAGGGACACTACGGAGCCTAATCCCTCCAGCCGTTTGGGGTTTGAGCGGCTTGGGGCGCCTCCTCTTCCAACCCCCTTCTTCCCCTCCGGGGAAGGGCTTACCCCTCACCCTTTCCCGTCCCTCTGGGTCTGGAGAGGGGGTCGCGACCCATGGAAGCGTCCAAGCCAGCCTCGGCGAGACGGCGCAAATCAATGACGTTACTAAGGTCTTGGGCCAATGCGGCCCCCCTTCCTTTGATCGATCTTCTCCAAGATGGCCGCAAGATGGTCCCCGAGGCTTCCAAACAGTGTCCTAAGAGGGCCTGGAAAAGCACCCAGGAGGCCGCGAGAGGCCCCCCAAGAGGTCCCCGAGAGGCCCCAGGAGACCCCTCCCGAGGCACCCACGACGCTCCCAGAGGCCCTCAGGACCGCCAAGACGCCCCTGGACGCCCCGAAAAAATCCCAGAAAGCTCCCGAGAGACACCCGGAGCGACTACGAGAGGTATCCAAGAGGCCTCCTCCTCCTCTTCATCGTCCTCGTCCTTCCTCGTCCTCCTCCTCCTCGTCCTCTCTTCCTTTTCCTTATGACAAGCTTCTCCCTACCGCACCCCGAGGCCAATCGGAAAGGTGGGCGGGGCGTTCCGCTTGAAATTTCCGTACCATTTCTGAACCCGACGCATCCAAGGCTGGCAACAACTTCGCAGATGGAGGGCGGACCGCTTCCAAAATGTGGTTCTCGCCTGAGCGCCGCGCAGTCGTTCAAAAAGATGCATGAGCTTAGAGCTTCACTGATTGAGAGCGGGCCGTTTCCACAATGTGGCTGTCGCCTTAGCGCAGCAAGCATTCGTTGCATGCATTTGCAAGGGATTCGCGGATTGTGAGGTCCGGCAATTTCCCCTGAACAAAAACGCTCATCTTAACGCCGCGCAAAATGGCCCCAAAAGGTTGCAAGATATTAACGGGTTGAGGGCGGGTAGCTTTCGATATGTGGCTGTCGCCTTAGCGCCGCGCCATGCGTTTTAACATTCGCAAAACTTTCACGTATAGAGGGCGATTCCTTGTTGTGCAACATGTCGCTAAGATTTGGCAGAACCCCATCGTCTCCGCCTACTTCAATAATGCCCACATTTGAGACTCACACGTATCGGCTAGAAATGTACCAGTGATTGATTGGTCACATGTCCGCTTTCCTTGGTACCCATGCTTCCGCAAATGTGAATACACACGGCGGTCTTTGCCGGACGATGGGGCGCGAGGGCAAAACATGTCTATGATGCAAAAACACTTCTTGACATCCGAGACAGCGTGATCCACCGCCGCTTTACTGTGGAAAATAATCAACCTTTTCCTCCGGAGCCCGGGGGTCGCCCCCCCCCCCCCCCCCCCCCTCCGGAACCCCCCCCCCCCCCCCCCCTGCTGAACCCCACCCCCCCGGCAAAACCCCCCCTCCCCTAACCCATCCCCCCCCCCCTCCCCGTCGAAAACCGGGGGTCACTACCGGTTCGAACCCCCCCCCCCCCCCTCGAAACCGGGGGGGTCTACCAGTTCGAACCCCCCCCCCCGCCCCCTCGAAAACCCACCCCCCCCCCCCTCGAAAACCGGAGGGGGGGTCACTACCGGTTCGAACCCCCCCCCACCCCCCCACTCACCGCCAGCAAACGACTCCGGGTCCCTACCACCGTCCGCATCACATCCCCCCACTGTTGTTCCCAGCACCAATGTCCTCACCACCACTGTCCCCACTGGTTCCACCACCGTCCCTACTGTCCCCACCAGCGCCCCCACCACTGTCGCACTGTCCCCACTGTCCCCACCTCTGTTCCCACCACGGTTCCATTCTCCCCACTGTCTCCACGGCCCCAACCACTGCCCGACTATCCCCACCGTCCCCACTGTCCCACTGTCTCCTCCGCTGTCCCACTGAGCTGTCCCACTGTTCCCACCACTGTCCTCACTGTCCCCACCACTGTCCCCACTGTACCTCTGTCCCATTGTCCCACCGCCGTCCTCGCCACCGCCTTCACCACTGTCCCCACCACCATTGTACCCTACACTGTCCCACTGTTTCCACCTCATTCCCACTGTCCCCACACCACTGTCCCCACCACCACCGTTCCCACCACTGTCCACTGTCCCCACTGTTCCCACCATTGTCCCCACCACTGTCCCACTGTCCCACTGTCCCCACCACTGTCCCACTGTCCCCTCACCACTGTCCCCACCACCACCGCCGTCCCCACCACTGTCCGCATCCCCACTCGGTTTTAGGTTCGAACCCGTAGTGACCCCCCCCGGTTTTCGAGGGAGGGGAGGGGTGGGGGGAGGGGGCTCGAACCGGTAGTGACCGAGGGGTTCGAACCGGTAGTGACCCCTCCGGTTTTCCGGAAGGGGGGGGGGGGTCCAACCGGTAGTGACCCCCCCCCCCCCGGTTTTCCGCCAGCAGCGGTAGAACACGCTCTTTCTGACATCCACATGTATGGCCAAAATTTGGCCGACGACTTCTTGGTGACATGTTTGCTCTCCTGGGGGCACGCGTGTTCCTCTGCGTATTTTGCGGCGAACGCTCTATTGCCAAAACAAACAACATTTTTCCAGCAGAGGTTCTGAGACTACAACAAAACGATGTAAATTGGAGCGTAGATCTAAAAGAGCGTCAACCGCCCAGGCCTGTCACCAGCCTGTAGTGGGAGGATTCCGATTTGATCTCAACTGGGTTCCAATTGCTCCTTTTGGATCCTAATTAGCCTGGCGAAAGACCCAACCATGCGCAGTTGTGACTACCGCACTTGCGAATAACATCTTCGCCCGCGCTCCCGATGCGGCCACAATTTCCCGCCCGAGCCCGACATGTTCAGGGGCACGTACGTGGCCGTCTTCGCGGGCGCCGACGACGACGAGGACGGCGTCCCCCTGACCGAGGAGCAGAAGCAGGAGAGGGCTCTGAGAGCCATGAGGGAGGCTGCCGCCGGGGCCTTCGGTGGAGCTCCCCATGGGGCCACGATCCTCGTGAGGGGTGTGCCGAAATGGCCCGAGGCCGCCATGCGAACCCTGCCACTGGGGCCTTCGGTAAAGCTCCCTAGCTCCCTGCGGGGCCACGATCCGCATGGGGGGTGTGCCGAAATGGCCCGAGCCGCCATGCGAACGCTGCCACTGGGGCCTTCGGTGAGGGGTGTGCCGAAATGGCCCGAGGCCGCCATGCGAACCCTGCCACTGGGGCCTTCGGTAAAGCTCCCTATGGGGCCACGATCCGCATGGGGGGTGTGCCGAAATGGCCCGAGCCGCCATGCGAACGCTGCCACTGGGGCCTTCGGTGGAGCTCCCTATGGGGCCACGATCCTCGTGAGGGGTGTGCCGAAATGGCCCGAGGCCGCCATGCGAACGCGGCCACTGGGGCCTTCGGTGGAGCTCCCTATGGGGCCACGATCCTCGTGAGGGGTGTGCCGAGATGGCCCGAGGCCGCCATGCGAACGCGGCCACTGGGGCCTTCGGTGGAGCTCCCTATGGGGCCACGATCCTCGTGAGGGGTGTGCCGAGATGGCCCGAGGCCGCCATGCGAACGCGGCCACTGGGGCCTTCGGTGGAGCTCCCTATGGGGCCACGATCCTCGTGAGGGGTGTGCCGAAATGGCCCGAGGCCGCCATGCGAACGCGGCCACTGGGGCCTTCGGTGGAGCTCCCTATGGGGCCACGATCCTCGTGAGGGGTGTGCCGAAATGGCCCGAGGCCGCCATGCGAACGCGGCCACTGGGGCCTTCGGTGGAGCTCCGTATGGGGCCACGATCCTCGTGAGGGGTGTGCCGAGATGGCCCGAGGCCGCCATGCGAACGGGGCCACTGGGGCCTTCGGTGGAGCTCCCTATGGGGCCACGATCCTCGTGAGGGGTGTGCCGAAATGGCCCGAGGCCGCCATGCGAACGCGGCCACTGGGGCCTTCGGTGGAGCTCCCTATGGGGCCACGAAGCGCTGTACTGGGTGGGTGAAACGCGGAGGAGGAGGAGGGGGCAGAGGAGGAGAGGAGGGGAGACGCGGGCCACCGTCTCTTCAAAACGAGGACCCAACACCACAGGATGGTTGGGTATAGAACACCTACCGGGGTAGAGTATGATTCAAAGAAGACGGTTTTTGTTGGGTTACATTTGGGCCGCGATGGGATCATAGATATGCCCGTATGGTTCGAAAAGGACAGAGCCCGATTGCGTTCCAGTGCGATATCCCTTGTATTCGTCAATATGTTTCCGACTGGTTTCCAGGAGAAGCTATTCACATTGTTTTTAAACGAAACCAAAAAAGGATTCCCGCCGGGTTTCCATATAATAATACCCCAGTGCGTTTCCCGCAACATTCCAATAAGAAAATTCCTCGATTGTAGTCCAATGGGGTTCCCAACCGGTTTCACTAGGAAGGGCCACAAGAGTTTCAATTGGAAGACTCCCTATCGGATCCCAATAGGACACCCGTAGGCCCCATAGCGAAGAATCTTGTTGGATACCAATGGGGTTCATCCGGTGCGATTCATTGTGGATCCCATTGGGAATCCGCCACTTCAGAGATTCTCGCTTCCGACGGGTCACTTTACAACCAACGCGCTTCAAAGAGCGAGTGGTCTCCCTTACGTGGACCCACGGATATTTCGGAATTCGAAGAGCGTGTGTCGCTTATGTGTGTTGACTTGCCTGGTTGTATAGTGGCCTTCCTGGTTGTAAAATGCCCTTGTGGGAAAACCCATGCTGGTTGTAAAGTGCCCGATCTGGTTGTACAGTGGTCGTTCTGGTTGGAATGTGCGCACACGCCTACGAACCCAGGGTGTTGCCAGGAGACGCCGAGCAACGCGCGCTCATAGTACAGAGTTCCGGTGAAGGTACGTACGACCACACTTGCCGCTGCAACGCATTCCAAGCAACGGAAGAGACAAGCATGCGAAATGGCGGCCACGGTCAATGCCAGGGGCTGGAACCGGCAAAAGGACGGACTAGGGGAAGCCCGGAAGCCACCGTAGTGGCGGCGTGCGCGCGAGGCACAGTGCCAGGGAGACGCTACAGCTCAAAATGAGAGTAGTCGAGACACCAAGGTAATGAGCGCCGCTGTCTCAACTGGGCCTTCTCCGATTCAAGGTGCATCGGACGGAGACTCTGGGTGCAGCGCAAGGGTTGCGGAGACGCCCTGGCCGCGCCTCTGGTTTGCGTGAATCGATGTCATCGGAGGCCCCGCCCCCCTTTAAAGCAATGTGGAACTCATGTGGAAACGTATGTCTCGATCCGCACCCTCGCGTGGAGCACGCCTGTAACGGCCCCGCGCAGACTGCGCAATCACTCCTGGCTGCGAGCGCGCGTGGAGTTTGCAGGCACCTCCGCGCGATGCAATCACCGATGACGCCTTTGTCATCTCCCCGATTGAGCCTACCCCATTATGCCGTGCGCCCTCCAACGGCGAAGAGGTCCCAGATCCCACGGCGGTGTCATAATGAATACCCATCTGATGCACAGAAACAAATGTGCATTACACATTCGCAGTGGAAAAACGACTGTGTAGTAAATCCGCATGTTTGTTAGGAACGTTCGTTTCGGCCCGTTTTTCAATCAGAGGAAACCTTCGTCGACCGTCCGCCGCGTGGCTCTGGAAGGGGAATGCGCGCAGCGGCGGTTATCCTATCCGATGCCCAGCTTGGTCGAACTGCAACGACTCCGACTCGCAACGACTCAGATTTGCGAAGGACAGCCAAGAAACAGGAGCATAGAAACACGGGGTGCACCACCTCCGAATCAAGAGGCGAATCGAGCATCCACAGGGGCAAGACACCTCTGAATTGTCGAGGGTGGGGGCTGGGCCTCGGATTCGACTGGTGATGTGTGTCCGGCGGCGGGATAAGAAGCACACACCGGTGTGCCAGCCAGGCATGGAGGCCCCCTCGCCCGAAGCACTTTCCTCTCACACATTCGGCAACAGAGAAGGGGCTCATCAGTGAGGCACTGTCTTCCATCGCCTGTGCAGAGACCCTAAAAATAGGTCAAGTGGCGCTTGAGTGCGCTTCGCCACACATAGAGATGCATGCGATTCCTGGGCATGGTGATGACGGCAATTGACAACATCATAGTACGTTATTCCTTCGCCTGCTCAATGGAACTCTGGCGCAACACGTGGGGAGTGCGCAATTATATACCCAGCACTTTCATCCCTGGCCAGATCGACGGCAGAACAGTTGAAGGCCCTGTGCAACCACTCGGAGGCTACCGAGACGCGCGCGCGGTCATGGGCACACCTGTGCAGTGCCCAGGCTCGCCACAGTTCAGGCCTGGTCGGCTGGCGGCGTCTGATGTTTCACACGACGTCCCCTCTCCCTCGGCACCCTCCTCCGCATCCTCCTCATCATCCGAAGCATCGTCATCACCATCAGTATCGTCATTCTCGTTGTCATCATCACCACTATCATCATCAATCCTCATCATCCTCATGATTATCATTTCCACCATCCTCATCGTTATCGTCTTCGCCGTCGTCGTCACCACCCTCCTTGGGGCAGAGAAGGAATAATGAGACGATGGGGAGGAAGGGGAGAGCACAACGAGGCAACGAGGAGAGGGCATGAAGCGATAGTGCCACTGTCTGCCCATGGGCAGGGCGCGGCCTTCTTGGCAACGGTGGCATGTCCACGCCTCTCTATCTCATGGAGTGTGTTGATCTCCCCCTTGCAACCGTTCTTCGCGGCCGTGACACTGTCAATAATCCTGCCGGGAGGCAGGAAGGCGAGAATGAAAGGCCAGCGAAGGCCAGTGCGAACGCCAGTCGGAGGAGGAAAACAACCTCCAACGTCTCGCGATTCCCAGGCGCTGTTCGACCAGAGGCTCTCGACCTCATCGCGAAACATTGGATTGCCTTGCCGTGGGGCACGAAGCCGGCCCCCCACGCCCGAGGGGCCCCACTCGCGAAGAAACGCTCGGCGCTATCCTGAGTACGAACTTCACGTACTTAGTTGGGCCCCATACGCCTCACTATCTCCCTGACTCCCACCAGAACCTCAGGCCTGCTCGCATTCCTTTTGCTCACGAAGCCCAGACGGGCTCAGACCCAGCCTCACGCACAACAACTACTACTCACACTCCGAGTCACGACCACACCCAGACCCACTTACACCCGGCCTGGCGTACACTCGGATATACTCACACGCAGACTCACGCATACTCAGAATCGCCTACTCAAATCTACTCGGTCGCGCCGCTCGCGGACGCGCCGCAACCGTCTTCGTCTCTTCCCCGCTGGCCCGGTTCCGAGGCAAGGGAGGCCCGGCTGCGGCGCTCCGCGGCAGGCGGGGGGCCCGAGGAGGAGGAGGAGGACTCCCTCGCACTCAGGATCATACATACTCAGACACACCCAGGACAGACTCAGACCCGTGATGCTCAACCTCGAAAATCGTGAGAATCGCTCGTACTCTCGCACTCAGGCTACACCATGGCCATCGTGATACATCAGGAACCGCATTTTAGCCGTAAGGCACCTTTTCCCAAAAATGATTATCAATAACCAAAATACGTTTCGCTTCTGAATGCCATGTTCACCGCGATTTAGTTGGCATCACACTCCGCGCCTCCCATGATTGAGTCGCGGGCATATTCGCGTCTAGGCTTGTGGGATGGGACCTCTCAAATCGATGATCTTCTCTGCAGGTAGACGCGTGTTCCGCCAGAGCCTCACGACCACCGCGATGTCACAGCCGTCGCGCGTCGGGGCCTTTCAAGGGGGGGAGGGGGGGAGGGGGGGTGCCGCCAGGGCTTTCTATCCTATCATGAGGCCGTGCGCGTTCACAGTGGTGGGGCCACCCACAAAGAATTGCCACGTTCGGAATCTGAGAGCGACTCTTCTCAGGGTCCGCTGGTATTCGGGATGTAGCAGCCATCGCATTTCGATCCTCGAAAGAGAGAGCTGCCAAAGAATATGACCCGGGCACGTTCGTGGGGTCTCTCAGGTAGATTGCCGTATTCGAGAGCAGACGTGTCTCTTGTCTCTTGCGCTGTAGGAGGCAACGCCCTGCGGACACCCCAAGAGGGAGCCGCCACTAGGTGCATCATGGGCCTGGTCGCGTCTACTTTGATGGAGCATCTCAGGTAGAATTGTCCTTTTCGGAAATCGATGCGTTAATCGATGTGTCACTCTCCACATGCCAATGATCACCGCCATGTAGCCGACATCGCAACTCAGGCATCCCGAGGGAGACCTCCAGGGGTGTATCACGGGTCCGCTCGCGTCCAGATTGCTTTGGCATCGCAGAAGCAATTCCGTTGTCAAAGGGAGATACGTGATATGCCAGGGCCCGCATTGGCATCTCAAACAGAAACCTTGTTTCTAACGAAAAGAGGTGGTGCGTCAGAACCCCATGACCACCACCACCCCAGAACCGAGTCCTCTTGGAGGGGGGGACACACGGACCCGCTCGGGTCGAGACTTGCCAGACTGCCCAAATAGAGCAGCTGTTTTCAGAGAGAGAGAGAGAGAGAGAGAGACGCGTCTCCTGTTTGAGCCAAATGTCCACTGCGATGCGGCAGGCGAAGCACTCCGGACCGCCAATTTCGGTAGGCACATCTTTGCTTCACCGCGATGTGGCAGGCATTACTGTGGGGCTAACGAGGGGGAGAGCCGCCGAGGGTTGTAACACGAATCCACGTGGCTTCGTCCACAGCCCCGTGACCACCCCGAAGTAGAAGGCATCGCAGCTCGGGCTTCCTCCAAGGGGGAGCCACAAGGGTGTATATCACAAGCTCGTTCGCATTAACGTTGGTGGGGACTCCCCAATAGAATTGCAAGACTTGGAACTCATGGGACACTTTCCAAAGTCCCATGATACCTCCGATCGAGCAGGCAACACGCTTCTTATAGCACTGGCGCGTTCGCATCCAGACCTCCCAAAGGAGAACTGCCGAGCGGTATATCATAGGCCCGCCCGTGCCAACATTGGTGTAGACGTGTCCATGTCCACCGGTATATCGAGTGCCCGCTGGGGTCCACGTTGGTATGGCCTCTTCAGGTAGAATAGCATTTCTCTGAGCTAGAGCCGCATGGCAATTCTGGTCTCCCAAGGGCCAAAAAAGGGGTGGGGGGGCTGCCACGGGGATCTCACACGGGTCCGTTCGTGTGCAGATTGGTGGGGCCTCTCTGGTAGAATGTCACTTGTCGGAAATAAACTTGTCTGTGATCAAGGCCCCATGGTCACAACGATGTAATAGGCATCACATTTCCGCTTTCCCACGGGGTGCCGCAATGCGGTATATCACACAGGCGCGCTCGCACCGGCCTTTGCCACCGCCGACGCCGGCAAGGGGGCGGTGTCATCGGCGATGACGGGCTTCATGGGGGGGGGGGAGGGGGCGGGGGGGGGGAATGACGTAACGCGCCCCCCTGTGCGGCTCTGGCGTCACACCCGCGCACGCGCGCACGACGACGATGAGCGACGAGCGAAAAGCGACGAACGACGAGCGACGACGACGACGACGACGACGCGAGCAGCATGCAGGCGGCGATCTGCCCCACAGCGCCTGTGTACACCACGATGCTCGCGTGCACCACAGCGCTTGTGTACAGCACACCGCCAGCGTACACCACAATAGCCGTGTGCAACGCAGCGCCTGTGTACACCACAGTGCTTGCGTGCACCACAGCGCCTGTGTACGCCACAGCGAATGTGTACACCGCAGCAGCCATGTGCAACACAGCCACTGTCTACACCAATATTTACGTGCACCGCAGCGCCTGTGCACACCACGGCGCCTGTCTACACCACAGCATCCGCGTGCAACGCAGCGCTGGTGTACACCAGAGTGCCTGCGTGCACAGGACAGGTAGGAGGAGCATGTCGGTGAGGATCTGGTGAGGACAGCTAAACGCCACGCCAGGGACATGTCCACCCTTCTCCTTCCTCCACCTGGTGTCTGCGACGTTTTTCCCTCCTCCCTCCTCCACCTCCGCCTCCTCCTCCTCCTCCTCACCCCCGTCCTCCTCCTCATGCTCATCCTCCTCCTCCCTCACCCTTCCCCCCTGTCGTGCGGGCCGGCACTACAGCGCACGTGCGCGTCTCAGCGCGCACCGCAGAATAGTCTATTCACTGGTGCCGTGTTGAGTACACGCAAGCATTGTGGTGTACACTGGTGCTGTGTTGCACACGGCTGATGTGGTGTACGTAGGCGCTGTGGTGTACACGAGCGCTGTGGTGTCAACAGGCACTGTGGCACACACTGGCGCTGTGATGCACGCGGCAACTATGGTGTACATAGGCGGTGTGGTGTACACAAGCGTTCTGGTGCACGCAGGCACTACCGTGTACACAGGCGTTGCGGTGCAGATCGCCGCCGACATGTTGCTGCTACCCGTCCTCGGTGATTCCTAAGCATTCCCAAACGCCGCTGGCGCGAAACGTGACGTCATCGGCCCCTTCCACCCCCCTTTCCCAGATGATTGCCGTCATCGGCCTGGAGGATTATTTTTTAAAATAAAAAAAAATCCACCTGCGTCCGCGCGCACGACGACGATGAGCGACGAGCGACGACGAGCGACAACGACGACGACGACGACGACGACGACGACGACGACGACGACGACGACCGACGACGACGACGACTGCGGACCAGACTCCTATGCGGATTCCTACGCGGACACCTATGCGGATCACGGTGCGCACGGCGGCAGTGCCCGAATCGCACTGGGGGGGGAACGTTACGTCATAGGGGGGGGGCCGGGGGCCATGACGCCCGTCATGCCCCAAGCAATAAAGAAACGGGCACCAAATGTGATGCACCCGTCCGACGTCTACGGTGGCACATCTGGTTGTAGAGATTGAAGACGACCCAAATCTAGCGCCCCGCGTTGAAAAGGAACCACCCCCCATCCGTGTGACTGCTGGGATTTCGTGAAAACGAATGTGCGCGGCGCGACGCGAAAACCGCATGTCCAAAACGAGCCGCCAGTCGATCCCGCAACCGGTCTGGATCCCCGTCCCTTCGTGACCAGACATGGGGAGGATGGCGAGGGAACAACGCCTGGACCGCCCAACGGACACGTCTAGCGCGACGAGGAAGAACTACGCGTAAAGAACAGGATACTAAGGGTGGGCCTTTTGTGCTGCCGGGGCCTCACGGAGCATCCGGAAACCTGCAGAGCCACGCGGGAGCTTTCAGAGGGGATCCCCGGACACCTGCAGAGGCTGATGGAGACCCACCGTGGGGAGGAGGATGGCGCGGAGGGAAAGGAGGCGGGGGCAGACGTCCAGTAACATTCCTGACCCCTCGTCCAGATCGTCTATCCACACCATCTTCTCTCCTTCCCCCAACTCAATTCGTCGTCTCTCTGCCCTCATCACTGCCCTTCCAGGCCCCGAACAGATCATCGCTGGCCGACTCTCTCCCTCCCAGCCGCCCCCGCCCACCTTCCAAATTGTCGTTGTGTTCCCCCCCCCGCTTCCCTCTATCCCTCCTTTCGTCTTTCTGCATGCCGCCCTATCCCTTCATCGATCCCTTCGGCCGTGCTCGGGGCCTTTTTCCTTCCGCGTTCCTCCACGTATGGCCACCCGTCCCCACCTTCCCCATCCCCACTATCTGATCGTCCACTCCCCTCCCCCGCCCTTCCTGATTGCCCCTCCTCCTCCCCCCCCCCCAACCTTGTCCACAACCTGTTCCCCTTTCCTCTCCGTCCGCCTCCCTCTTTCCCAGTTTGACTGTTCCTGCACGCGCGCATCCCAATCCATGGAGT